TTTGTTTATCCATTAAATTCCCCAATATAAAGCCCCAACTTTTTTTTTAATCCATCAACCACACAAAATGAGTCCCCACAAACCCGTCATATTTATGCTCATAAGCCAATTTTTTTTTTTTTTTATTCCATAAAATCAATATAAAACGCAACCAATTGGGTAAATCCATCCAATTCCCACACGAACTGAGCCTCACAAACCGTCCATACTATGCTCAAAAAAAAACAATCTTTTGTTTTTATCCATAAATTCCATATAAAGCCCACTTGAATTTTCATAATTTTCCCACACGAAATGAGCCCTCAGAAAATTGGTCATACTGTGCTCCCCAAAGCAATTTTTTGTTATTTTTTTTTTGTTTTTCATAAATTCAATATAAAAGTCAAACCATTTTGAAATCCCACAATTCCACATGAATTAAATTTTTTTTCATAGCATCTGAAATTTTGTACTCTGAATAAAAGGATTTTTTCCCTAGTGCTTTCAAATAGACAATTTATTTTATAGGTGGTCCCAAATCAATACAAGGGTCAAAAAAATATATTTGTAGGCAACAACTCCCAATAAGCCATCTAAAATAAATCAATACAATGTTCCAAAAATTAATATTGTTAGGCCAACCATCTTTCATAAGCCCCATCTAAAATTTGCATTGGGAATAAAGATCTTAGGGATGCTTAAAATCGGGGGACCCAAGCTCAATCCACTTAAAAGCCCTAATGGCAATTCAAATAGGACCAAATTTTTTCAATCTGATGGTAAAATTTTTAATTAAAAAATAAGATACTTATCAGAATTTTTATATGTTGAATCATGCTCAGGAGAATGGCCTTAAATGAATTTTGGTATTAGCTATTATATAGAAGAGTTGATATTCTTTTATCAACTTGTTTTCTTTGAAATTTTTGGAGGTATTGCAGTCAAAAACAGAACAATGGCCTCACAAAGGTCAGCTTTTATTTGGAAAAAGGGAAGGCCCCAAATGTCGTCAAAGCTCTCTCAAAATGTCTAGAGAAACATGAGGTGCGATTATAGTTCATAATAAACTTAATGGCAGAAATTTGTCTACTTCATTTGAAAGCTTTGCCTGCAAATATTTTTTTTGATAGGCTGGTAAGACTCTCTTGCCATCCTTTCTCATTTGTAAAAACAAACAACTGATAAGTATACATAGATATCTAATTGATTGGATTTGTCTTGATCTAATATTTTATTGAAAATAATTTATAGCAATGGTATTGCTTTGGATGTATTACCCCAAGTTGCTAGAAAAGGAAGGGCACTTGCTTTTCTAATTGAAAAACTAAATGTTGACGGACTTGGACCACGCTACACTCTTGTTTGTGGTGATTCTAATGTTTGTTTTATCTGCAAATGTGATTGTACTGTAATAGATGACCTTTCATTTCCTGAGTTTGAAGGTCAGCAATGCACAGGAATAATTGCTTCATTGGTATACAGAAAATGCAAGGAGCAATCCCCAAATAATTCATGCAACTAAAAGATGTGCAGCTGGCATTCTGCAAGCCATCAGTGACTTCTCTCAAGCCAACTGAAAGAATGTGTCTCCAAGAGATATTGGAGATTGCATGTCGAGCGGAAAAGTTCTTGATCCTAGCCATGAAGTAGTGATGTTCTACATATTTTGAGAGAGGTGTGGTGAAGTTTAGAATCTTAAGCAGTATATGCACAATTTTAAAGCAGTCTTTGTAAGTTTGATCCAATTGTAAAATTTTACTCAGCTGCAAATCCATATCTAAGCTTAATCAGAGCTGAATCTTTTGAGTACATGAACAATGAATGATATTTGGAATTGGAATACCTAGAACCGTTAGAGTATTAAAAGAAACCAGACAGAAGTTTAAATTGCATGAGAAAAGACATGGTGGATTTGAAAAGACGTTGTTTTATCATAAATAGTGAAAGGAGAATCACAAGACATGAAGTTTCTGTTGATATAGGATCTATGAAATTTAGACTTTCATATCCCCATTTATTTTCTGTCCATTTATATGAAAGCCGAGGGGCTTTTTATGTATATTTGTTAATCTGAAGAGAATCTGATGCTATTCTTTTCTCAATTTTCTTTTTTGTTTATTTTTAGCATTATACAGGAAACTGTGTCCATCATTCAGGAGTTGATCAGCCTATACACCAATTTATAGGTACCTTAGAAAAGGCTTTTGGTGACAAGAAGGATCAATAATATCGAGTGTGGGTTGACGTTGCGGAGGTTAATTTGGGTTTGTGGCTGGTCAAATTCGACAAGTGGGAGATATCTGGTGAGATTTTTCTTAACTTTAATTCATTAGTCTTAAGTTCTATTCTTCAATTGGCATCTTTAATTCTCTTGCTCAAACCACTCTTCCACCAATGTTGCCTATAGTTGAACCTCCCATTGGAATTTGCAAAGGTATTATGTCCACTCTTTATTCTAACCTTTGTGCCTTTGCTCTAAATTGTGCCGGTTTATCCCCTTCCTATTTTTTAGTTGATTTCTTCTTTGAACTTTGTGTCCATTCTTAATTCTACATGGCTGCTTTGGATGCTAGCAAAACCATCATTAGGAGTTGTTGTGTTTATACTGTGAAGATCACACTTGATGGTACATTTGATTGTTACAAAGGTCATTTGGTGGCTTAGAGTTATACTTATATTTTTGGCCTAGATTATGGTGCCCCTTTTTTCTCTTATTCAGTAGTTCTTTTTCTTGTGTTGTTATTGGTGGATCAGAGGTTGATGCTGCCACATGATTTTCACTATATTTAGTCATTGCTGATTTATTTATTTATTTAATAACTAATACTATTATGTTTTTCTTGATTCCATGACTTTGGAAAAAATATTTAGCCATGGCAAGGGAAATCGTGGTGCAACAGAAATCAGATGCTGCTATCCCAGTGACAACAATGTCACCACCTGAAGGAAACATTACATTCATTGATGGCACAACTTGGTGTGTGGCTCGTCCTGGTGCTTCTGAAAATGACATGCAAAATGCTCTTGATTGGGCTTGTGGACTTGGAATGGCAAATTGCAAAGCTATCCAGCAAGGTGGACCATGTTTTGAACCAGGCACACTTGTTTCTCATGCTTCCTATGCTTTCAATAGCTACTATCAGACAAATGGAAATCCGATATTGCATACAATTTTGGAGGCATTGCTGCTTTGACCAAACGTGACCCTAGTAAGTCAAAATTTTTATCTCGTTAGGTTAATTATGTTAAGTGTTCTGAGATGTTCTGATAGTGATTTAGAGTGTTCCAGGTTAATTATCTACGTAGCATCCTTTCACTTTTGGTACCATAGTGATTTAGAGTGTAATAATGAATAACAGTACTTGTGTGATTGATAAATATAAATATATAAATATAAATACACTTTCATATGCTGATGAATAATGTCAAAGATTTATGGAACTTTTTGCCTGAGAATGTTGTGAGGTGTTGAAAAGACAGGTGCTTAACTTAAGCAACTGCAATTCCATCCAATCAAACCATTTACTTTTTGTATGGGTGCTTTCTTTTTATGCATTTGCATTATTCTAGTTCCTTTAAACTTTAAGATCAAATTAGTTTGTTTTCTTTGAAAAACTGCTACAGGTTTTTGTAACTATGAGATGTGATATTCTTTTAGAAGATACCAGAACGCTTACTTTTGAATAAGCAATTATGCTAAGTTGTTATATATAGTATATATATAGTAAAGTAGCTTCATACTTTGGATTATATTCCTGATGTCATCATAATGAGTACATGTTACGCAGTATTTGCATAATGCTTTACAGAATGCTTTCGGGAAATTAAGTGTAGAATATTTGAATGTGGAAACATCAATAATTTTGAAATGAGCGGAATTTTAATATTAGTGTATGCTGATAATGTTGTTCATACAGATGTTGAAAGAGAAATCATCCTGAACTTCTGTTTTTCTTTTCTCTTTAGGCTATGGAAAATGTGTTTATTCTACATCTGGGTATGAGATCATAGCATAACTTACTAGTTTGAAAGAAGCTTGTATAAATATTTTATTTAATCACTGTTTATATCGTTGTTGTACTTGTTTTGGACAGATCTTTAGTTGCTTCTGGAGCACCTTTGAACTAAGGCTTTTGAAAAGCAAGATGCATTTGTAACTGGATTTGCTTTGCATGAAACTGAACTATAGTTAACTGAACTGCACTAATAGTAAATTAAAAAATAGTTCACTGGACTGCACTAATAGTAAATTAAAAAATAGTTCACTGGACTGCACTATACTATAAATGAACTAAAAAAATAGTTCAGTTCAGTTACTCTGAACTATTTTTTAGTTTAGTTCAGTTTTCCTAAATTATTTTATAGTGCAGTGCAGTATAGTGTGCAGTATAGTGCACTTTGTCCATCCTTACTTACATATAAGCTTTGTATGAGTTGATGGTGTGGTTGCAATTTTGAAAGCCGTATAACTTGAGGTGGGCATTCACCCTTAAGGGAACTATTGGATAGCACATTGATTTTTTTGGTTCACAGTGCAAGTTCCATAAGGGGATATTTTGAGTTTTCCCACACGGAAATCTCAAATTGCGCTTTAATTTTCTTGATTCACTTTGCAAATTCCATATGGATATATTTTTAGCACTCCCATCATAAATAGAGTTGTCAAAGTGTAGTCTGACTTTCTTAATTTTGAGTTGCTCCTATTCGGATAGTTGATGAATTATTTGTATATCTTTTGATGGTTTGTTGGGCCAAATTGGAAGGATTGCGGATTATAATTTGACTTCATATATATTAATTTTATGAATATGAGTTGGCGTGCATTCTTATGAACATCAATGATGGTTATAAACTGGTGTTGGATTTCTTCAACTGGATGCGCAGCCTTCTTTGGAAGCCCTTTGCATTGTTTTTCAGATTGGTGTGGGTTCTAAGGACTTTAGGACACCTCATAGACTGGTTTTTCGAGTTATGGGAAAAGCCTCTTTTGGATGTTAGTAACTCGTTTACTCAATTTACCAAGAGGTCAAAGACTCGGGTGCACATCCCTTTGTGTTTGATGTGTTGTTCCAAGTTCTTGATAAAGCGGGTGGCTTCTAGAGGTTCATAAATTCTATTTGATAAATTGGTAAATAACGACGTTCTTGTTTTTGTAGATTCTTGTAATTTGTTTCTAGCTAGGCTATTCAACAGTTTTGATGGGAAAAAGATGACAATTAATATGTTGAGAGAGTATCCGGAAGTGGGTGTTTGTTGGAACACCATGTCATATAATATTATTCTCCATTCTCTTTGTCAATTGGGTAGGTTAAAAGAAATGCATAATCTGCTCTTACGAATGGAGTTTGTGGGGAGCTTTCCTTATGTTGTAAGTTATAGTGTTATAACTAATGGATACTGTCAGGTTGAAAAGATAAGAAAGGTCTTGAAGTAAGAAAGGTCTTGAAGCTCCTGGAAGAGTTGAAGGGAAAAGGGTGTAAGCCAAATCAATACACATACACAAGCGTAATTTCCCTTCTTTGTAAGATTGGTAGAGTAGTTGAAGTCGAGCAAGTCCTGAGGGAGATGATAAACCAGAGGATTTTTCCTGATAAAGTTGTGTATACAACTCTCATCTGTGGATTCGGCAAGTCTGGAATGTTTCAGCTGCATACAAACTGTTTGATGAAATGAGACATAAGAAAATAGTTCTTGATTTCCTGACTTATACTTCCATGATTAATGAGCTTTGTGAAGCTGGAAAGGTTGTGGGAGCACACATTTGGTGTAATATTTAGAAAAGGTTTGGAACCAAATGAAGTTACTTATACTGCTCTTATATAGTCATTGCAAGGCTGGAGAGATGAAAGATACATTCTCTCTTCACAACCAGATGGTTGATTAGGGTTTGACTCCTAATGTTGTCACTTGTACAACGTTGGTTGATGGTCTGTGCCTTCAACCAAATGTCCGCACATATAATGCACTAATCAATGTTCTTTGTACGGTTGGAAATATAGAGCAAGCAATAAAGATTATGGAAGAAACGGATCTGGCAGGGTTTTATCCTGACACCATTACATATACGCTCAAGGACGCTTATTGTAAGATGGGTGAAATGGCCAAGGCTTGTGAAATGCCGTGGGTTATGCTTGGTAAAAGACTTCATCCTACAATTGTTACATACAATGTGCTAATGAATGGGTTTTCAGGTAAGGAATGTTTGAAGATGGTGAAAGACTAATTAAATGGATTTTCGAAAAAGGTAAAAGGCGGAATTCCACAACATTCATTTTTCTCTTGAAGCAGTATTGTATTCGAAATAACATGTGAAAGAGGCATTCTTTTTGCATAAAGAAATGGTTGAATAGGGATTTAGTCTAACTGTTGCTTCCTGTAATGCTCTTATAAATGTTTCTGTAAGAGGAAGAAATATTGTGCAAGCTAAGAAGCTATTTGAGGAGATGAGAACTCGAGGCTTTGTTGCAGAAAAAGGAGATAAATGATATTTTTATTGATGTAACCTATGAAGAAAGGAACTGGGAAATTGAGCTTTGTGATGAAGCAATAGAGAAATATCTTGTTAAGAGAATTTAGTTGGCTTTTGCGTATGGGACTTTATGATGGAAATATCTGGGTAGTAATTGTTGTTTGTGTTGCTCTTTCTTTCTTGGTAGTTCCACTAAAAGTAACTTGCGGATGATGACACCAGTTACTCTCATGATTAGAGGAGTGACATGGGACTTCCAGGTATTTTCGAATTCCAAAATAACAGAACATCACAGTAGCATACACAAAAGACGAGGGAGCTTTTGAACGATTTTCTTGGTTTGTTTTTAATATTTACAACCATAGCCGGTTGAAATTTTAGTGTTTGATTGTGCAGGTACGGTCTTCTTGACGATTTCAGCAGTTTGCCATTCCAACTTCTTTGTATTTGCAGTCCCCTTGGTGTAGCCTTCTTCTTGTTGTTATACCATCTTCCAGCCAGGTAACATGCGTATTTTTTTGTAATTTTACATCAGTTTGAAAATTTGTCATATTTTATTACAATAGGCTTTTAGGGATTGAGCTTGGTCACCAATTTTGGTATCTCTTAAGATTCCTTTTATTCACAATGCTAATTTCATATGCTTATATAAGTTATGGCTTACAAATATGTTTTTTGCGCCATATATTGATTAGAAAAACTATAAATATATTGTTTTATGGACATTATAAAACTGAGATGAGGATGTTCGTCCAATTTATATCTTTGTAAATGTTGTGACTCTAATTTTCTGAATTAAATGAATTCTTGATCTTGGCATTGGACTATTAGGAAGAATCAAGAGGGAAAGAGAAGTTGAACAAACAATCGTGTTCTTCAGGCAAGTTAGTTTTTAAAACACATTTATGTTTCTCTTTTATTGTTTGATCTTTATATTATGTTGTTCGAGTCAATTTAAGGCCTTAAATATGATAAATGTATATTACATGTGCTAGAAATTCAGGATTAATCATTTTAATGAATTGACTTTTTAACTGTTTATTTTGGTTTATTTTTAACTGTTTATACCATTAGTCTGTTCAAATTTTAGTGTTTTATTGTTCTGCTACGACCTTCTTGCTACGACCTTCTTGATGATGTCACTCCATTGCTATTCCATCCTCCTTGTATTTGCAGTACCTTTGGGGTAGCCTTCTTCTCATTGTTGTACCATCTTCACCATCTTCAAGCCAGGTAACATTGACTTCTTTTGGCGCTATTCTTTTCAGTGACATGCCTATTTTTTGTAATTTTAAATCAGTTTGAAAATTTATCGTATTTTATTACAATTGGCATTTAGGGATTGAGATAGGTCACGAATTTTGGTATCTCTTAAGATTCCATTTATTCACAATACAAATTACGGATGCTTATGTGAGTTATTGCTTAGAAATATATTTTGAGCCTTGTATTGATTTGACAACCTACAAATATATTGTTTTATGCATACTATAAAACTAAGATGAGAATATCCCTCCAATTTTAAATCTGAGTAAATAGTGTGCCTCCAATTATATGAATTAATTATGCATTCTTGATATTAGAAATGAATTATTGAGAAGAATTATGGTGGTGAGAAGAATAGAAAAGTTAAGAGAAGTGGAACAAAAATTTATGTTCTTCTGGCAAGTTAGTTTTGAATACACATCTATCTATCTCTTTAACTGATTGATCTTTATGTTATGTTTGCTCATGTCAATTTAATGCCAAAGATATTACAAATGTTTATTACATGTGCTAGAAATTCAGGATTAATCATTTTAACGAATTGACTTTTTAACTGTTTATTTTGGTTTATTTTTAACTGTTTATACTAATTGTTTGTTGAAATTTTAGTTGTTTATTATTCTGATGGGGCCTTCTTGATGATGTCATCTCATTGTTGTTTCACCCTCCTTGTATTTGCAGTTCCCTTGGTGTAGTCGTCTTCTCATTGTTGTACCATCTTTAAGCTAGGTAACATTGACTCGTTTTGCTACAATTCTTTTCAGTGATATGCCTGTTTTTTTGCAATTTTACATCAGTTTGAAAATTTGTCGTATTTTATTATAATAGGCTTTCAGGGATTGAGCTTGGTCACCAATTTTGGTATCTCATTAAGTAAATTTTAGATGCTTATGTGAGTTATTGCTTAAAAATATGTTTTTGAGCCTTATATTGATTTGACAACCTATAAATATAGTCTTATGGATACTATAAAACTTAGATGAGAATGTCCCTCCAATTTTAAATTTGAGTAAATATTGTGCCTCGAATTATATGAATTAATTATGAATTCTTGATCTTAGAAATGGACTATTGAGTAGAATTATTGTGATGCAAAGAATAAAACAGGAAAGAGAAGTGGAACAAACAATTGTGTTCTTCAAGCAAGTTAGTTTTTAATACACATCTATCTTTCTCTTTAACTGTTTGATCTTTATATTAAGTTTGTTTGTGTCAATTTAATGCCCGACATATGGCAAATGTTTATTACAGGTGCAAGAAATTCAGGATTAATCGTTTTAACGAATTGACTTTTTAACGGTTTAAACCATTGGCCTGTTGAAATTTTACTTGTTTATTGTTTTTGCTGCGGCCTTCTTGATGATGTCACCTCATTGCTGTTCCATCCTCCTTTTATTTTCGTTTCCTTGGTGTAGCTTCTTCTCGTTGTTGTACCATCTTCAAGCCAGGTAACATTGACACCTTCTCCAATCTGCCATAACTAGGGGGTCATCATGTGGTATTAGAGCCTGGTTCCTTTCATGATTTGGTTTGTTTTGTCTGTGCGTCTTCTAACAGATAAGTATTCTCGAGTCTTATTTTGATTTTTGCGTCTTTGATTCATGAGGTTTTTTTCTGTATAGAGTTTGCTTCAATCTTCCCGGTTGTTTGTTACAAGTTCTTCAATGTCTTGTGGTTTAATTCTGTTTTTGGTTGATTCCATTGCATTTACTATTAGGTTTTTCTGTGTTTGTGAGCTGTGCTTTGATTCATTATTTTTGCTCATTTTATTCGGCCTATTTCTTGCCTTGAGTCATTTTAATTGATGAATCATGTCCTGTCATGTTTACAGTCATGTTTAATTTCTTCAAATGTCTTAAATTCTGTGTTCAAAGCTGTTTTTGATTTCTGAGCCATGAATTTGCTGAAGCAAATAGCTTGGTGGCACTGAAAACTCCAGCAGTGATCAAACTTGCAGTTGACCGATCTGCCCGACCTTAGTTGAGTCATTTGAATTGTTTTAATGTGGTTGAGCGTTAGAATCATTGCTGGACTTCTGGTAGTACATTCTTAGAGTCTTTATGAAGTTTCAATTGCTGTTTCAAAGCCATTCTCATCGTTAATTTGTCAATTGAATCATTAAAACTTAAAATTGGTGGTGAGGTTGAGCTGTTTGATTGCATAATTGGATATTGCAAGTTGTATTTTCGAATTACTGTGCTTTGCATCCAATCTCAGTACAAAACCAGTTTGTTTTGATGTTTTAAATATGCTGAGATAGTTTAATTCGAATTATATCAACCTTTGTGCAATTTCACATTTTGAAACCACCATCTTAAGTTCATTTTGTGTGTGCAAGTGGAGACACAGTGCTTAATTTTGCGAACTGGATCTTTTCATAAGCATTTG